ACTTTATATATTCACGTTCGGGGAGAAAAAAACAGAGAGAAGGATTCATCGCGTTTTACGATACGGAGCCGCCACCAAGCCCTAATCTCTCGAGAGGGCTGATCTGGAGTTCGTTTGGGGCTCCGGAGAGGGGAATCCGTCGCCATCATCATCATCAACCTTCCTCCATCACCAATTTCATGATGCTCACCGTCGTGCGTGAGTAATTCCTAGTTGCGATCACTACAAAACCAATACTATTACCTTTGCCACTGTTACTGTTACTTCCATATTACTTTGCTACTAAATACTTTGCTGCAGATATTAAGTCTTTCAGGTGCGGTTGAATTGACAACTCAACTGTTAATACTTGAGAATATTCTTTGGCTTCCCTTGTGTCGAATCAATAAATTTGGGTTGAACACTCTACCCTCGAAAACTATTGTGATCCCCTATACTTGTGGGTTATCATTAGCTCAGTGTCTACATGGCTTGTAATATGATCTTTATGATATAAATGAGTTACAATGCAAAAAACAATGAAAAACACAGTAACATAATCTGGCAAGTAGTAAGGACGAGAAAATATCATCAGAACATGTTAACTTGGAATCTTATCCAAAGCCCTTGCCAGGACAAACCCACCAATGAAGACGGGTCGTGAATTGGATTAACTGTTCAATTGATAAATCATTTTAAAATTTTGAATTTGGCAATTAACGTCGGGACGTCAAAATGATGCGGGAGATTCTTTAAAACATGCATGTGCTCACTCTATTAGAGGGAAATCCATCGAAGATCATCTACATGGGAGAGCATGATTGTTATGTGTGTGACATCGCCATGGTGGACTCAAATATCTAAAGTATAGGAGAAATTTTGAGAGGGGGGGGGGGGCTGTCATATTCCAAATTGGAAAATAAAAACACGTGGACACATTTGACACTGTTATTTTATTTTATTTACAGCCTTTCTTTTCCCATTCTTGTCAAAATTAAATGCTCCTGTCGATCCAAATTACATCGAAAGGAGTATTAGAAAAAATAGAAGGGCTAGCCCAAGGAGTCTCCACATTATGAAAATATTTTATAGTATTTCTTCCTAAAAAAATCAAATTTCTTCTGCATTTTTACTCTTTAATGATATCTTAGTCCTTTTTCTGTAAAATCCATGGTTTTTTGGAATTTTTTCCTTCTATCCAGCCAATTTTAAAATGTATTAATATATTTTTGGATCATCCTCACGTTGGTTCCTCCATTTAATAATCATCTTCATGTAATACTCATAATATTGTAGTGCATATAATATATAATATGTCTAAGACTCATTTAGATGTGACATAGTTATGTCACATCTAAGGTGACGTTGCAGGCAATTTGATTATCTTGCTTTGTTTGTTGTCTTCATTGACTTCGTGTTGCCTTTTTTTTGAGAAACACCTAAAATTTTATTCATACTCATAACAATTACAGGAAGTAACTCCTATGACTAAGAATTACTATAAAATCTCTAGGAAACAACTTCTTTGTTGTATTAATCTCTGCTAGTGTACCTGGAGCAACGGTGTTGTCACTCTTTCACCTGCACGAACATTACCAATAATAGTTTTTGAAAGCACCTTGACTCGCCGATCCAAAAAGATGGGAAGCCTTTATCCATGAACGTACTTGCGTCGGGGATGATCCCCTAGAAGTGCAGGCCATCAGATCACAATATCTTCACCATTGTGTCAACAAAAGATTTTAACTCCGCAAGGAATCAAACCAACAAAAAAAGTTTTACACACCAACATAAACTCATCAGATCCGAATAATCAGATCCCCAAGGACAAAAAACTCTCTAATCTCATGGCACCGCCAGAAAAACGAGAGTAAATTTTATTCTCGCAAAATACGGTGATCACGAGATGATGACAAAGAACATAGGACCATTGAAGATGTGAGGTCCCCCACCTCTCAGTGTGCCAAGATGGCAGCCGGAGGCGAGGGGACCAAAAACTCCGGTGCGGCGGCGACTGTAGCCCTTGCGAAACCAAGTGTGTCGCTTCTTACGTTGTTTCTAGGTTTTGTTGTCTTCGTTTGTTTTGACAAGGGGACACATCATGTTTGGCTCTAGCCCACCACAGCTCACCACGTCACCCCCTGTTCGTCCTGGGCTTTTTGAGTTGTGGTTGTTGATGTCTCTGGCTGGGCTTTGTTCCAGTTGCACAAAACAAAAGGCCTTCACACACTGGATCAGGCATGATGGTAAAAGGCTTCTAAAAGGCATTCTAATAATAAACTTGTTCCACAGAAAGGAAGAACAACTGAAAAACTGTGTCAGGGGCAAGTTCTTACTAGGCAAAGGAAGATGGGGGATAGAGGAAGTTCTTACCGGGGTGAGATCCCTTCATACCACTCCTCCCCACCCTACTTGATTAGTACACAAATCTCCAACCCCACCTCCAAAGATTATGTGTCGAACACCCCCTCCCCACCCCCGTGCGTCAGTACTCCTACTTTTGACGAATCAAAATGTGTTGATTCTCCTATGTAGTGTTTTTGGGTGTTGTCTGTCATGGCGAAAACAAAACATAAGTGTAATTAGTTTACAAAAAAAAGGTTTAAGGGATATCAAAAGGGATTCCAAATTCAAGAAAATCATGTCAACTACTTGTTGTTTGGTCCCGCCCCTTAGTATGCCAAACTATGTTTGATGAAACAGAGAAAACATATGCTAGACTACCCACCTGTAAAAATAAACAACATATGTTGTCAATACTCAAGTTAGACACCTAGGATTTGTTGCTATCTTGGCTGGAAAAAATCATTTGTGTTCAGCATTTTCATAGCCCATGTATTTCATCTTTAGTATTTTTTATGCATTCAAATAAACGAATTAAAACTGTTTGAAACTAGAAATGTCTTAAACAATTATTGCAGGTGATTAAAACAGTCACCGAGACACCTACATTGATACACAAGCATGTTTCTTTGCCAGATGTGTAATATGGTTGTTCAAAGAAGAGAAGAGAGTACTTACTATAGTTTGGTTTGTTTAGATTGAACATTCTCAATATCCTGGAGCACTATTTGATGGAATAGAACACCGTTGCTTTAGTCATTTGATGCTTGTATTTCTGTTATAACTATGTTGACATTATCTTCTTTAGACTCAACATCTTTAATAAAGTGTTGTCTGTCTTCAACATTGTTTTTGTTGTTGTTGTTGTTGTTGTTGTTGCTGCTGCTGCTGCTGCTGCTGCTGTTGTTGTTGTTGTTGTTGTTGTTGTTGTTGTTGTTGTTGTTGTTGTTGTTGTCAGTTTCACTATATTTGACAATGTTGACACTTGAAGGCTCCTGAAAAACGTGTGTTCTTGCACCTGCATCCCCCAAAAAATGAAAAAAAAAAGTGAAAAAAAGTATTAGATTTTATTTTTGCACAAAATATCATGAAACATGCAATGGACATCCTGTAGTAGCTCCCCTAGAAGAAGAAAATCAAAATTGTGCAAAACAAAACATATTAAATTCTTAACAACCTCTTTGAAATTAATCTCTTTGAAGTATAGTAAGTTAAGGAGGGGTTAAGCTGAGTTGAGGAAAGCAAGAGATGGAGTGGAGGGGGGTCTAAGAAAAGTATGGAGGCAAGGTCAAGGGAAGCACAATGGAGAAACAGATTCGATCATTCACCACCTCTTCCTTCCTTCCTTCCTTCACTTGGGAATTAAATTAGAAGAGAGGCAAGCAAGCAAGGCAAGGAGGAGGAGATGTTGGAATAAGTATGCATATGTCTATCAATGTATCATGTAACCACTCGCAACAACTTCACCGATTCCTTCCCACTTTCCAAAAACTTTCCATTCTTTTTACGACTCATGCTCCTTTTCTCTTTTTATTTCCAACAATTTTGGTTTCGTAAGTTCATAGTCAGAATGGTTACGAGTGTTGCTCGAAAAAAATGGTTAGGACTTAGGAGTTAAACTCACAAGTAAGCTGAACACACCAGCAATGGCAAGGCTTGTTATGTGTGCTGACATCTATAATTTTATTTTCATAAAACATTTGACAAATGTTAATCAAACATTTTTAAAAATGGGTATAGAGAAAATGTTTCTCATGTATACGAAAATGTATACAATGTGTATGAAAAACATGATCATGTATTTAGAAACTTTTAATAAAGCATTTGAAAAATGGTATTCAAGTATTTTAAAAATGATAATCAAACATTTGAAAAATGTTAACTCTGTATAAAAAATGTTTCCCATGCATACGGAACATGCATAAAAAATATATAATGTGCATGAAAAAATGTTCACCGTTAAAAAAATGTTAATCAAGCATTTGAAAAATGTTAAATCTCTATAGAAAAATTGTTTATTTGTATACAAAAAATGTATACAATGTGTATGAAAAAATGTTGATCATGTATTTGAAAATGTGGATCATGTATAAAAATGTTTCTGATGTATACGAAAAATGCATTTTGTACTTGGAAAAAATGCTTATTCTAATTAAAAAAATGTTCACTCTGTACTTGAAAAATGTTGACCATGTATTCATAAAAAAGTGTTCTTAGCTTGTATTTAAGAAAAACTATACATCCAGTGTTTGAAAAAACAAGAAAAAACAAAAATGAAGAAAACCGATGAAAAACAAGAAAAACATAAGAAAACAGAATAAAAAATAAAAAAGTCAATACTTACAAAGAAACAGAAAGAAAGGCGAAGAAATAAAGAAACTGAGAAAGAAACAAAGAAAACCAACATATAGAGAAGAAGAAAAGGAAAAGACAAAGAAAACCGGTGAAATACAAAAAATATATAATGAAGAATAAAATTATAAAATTGGCGAAGAAATAAAAAACAAATGAAAAAACATAATAAAAAGGGAAAAACAAGAAGAAGACCAAGAAAGCCCGACCCTAAACAGTCAAACGCGAGCCCATCCCATGACAAACGGGCCGCGACAAAGACACTTTAACCAGCAACCGATCGATCGATCGAAGCCGGTGCGAGGCCAGCTCGGTCGCCCTTCGCGATGGCGATCGCGATGCCGCCGCTGCCGAGGGCGTCACAGCGAATCCGATATTCCAAGAAAAAAGGGGCACCGCCGGAGAGGGACTGGGCGGAGCTGCGCCCGGACCTCATCTCCCTCATCCTCCACCGGCTGGACCAGGCCGAGCTCCTGGTCGGCGGCGTGGCGGGCGTTTGCCGCTCCTGGCGCCGCGCCGCCCGGGAGCAGCCGGAGCTGTGGCCCCGCGTCGACCTGCGCGAAGGCCTCTGGTACGTCCCGCCGTTCCGCCCCAAGATCAGCATCGAGAGCATGGTGCGCAAGGCCCTGCGTCTCGGCGCGGGACAGACAGAGGCCTTCCTGAGCGATGGCGTCGACAACCACACGCTCCTGCTGCTCGCCCAGCGGTAAGAGATTTACCAGGTTCTTCCCTAATCCTCGAACCCTACCCATATTCTTAGGGTTTTCCCTTCTTCGATTTATTACTGTGTTTAAATTTTAGACCTCACCAAAAGTGTTTTTTTGTTTTGAATGAGGTGCTATGCTCATTCATCACTCATAAGTCATATCTGATGCTATCCTGCAGGGCACCCTCGTTGAAGAGCCTTCATCTCATCACGTGCTCTGTCTCCAACCTCGGATTTGCAAAGGCGATCAAGATGTTACCTCTGCTCGAGGAGCTTGAGATTTCACGACCTACATATTGCAATACACGAGAAATGGTTGAACTAGTCGCAGGAATATGCCTAGAGTTGAAGCACTTCAGACTTGTCATGCATGGCCTTGAAGGCAGGCGTACTAGTGCCAGGGTAGCATCTTTGGTTGCAAGGATGCACAAGCTACGCTCCTTGCATCTTGTCCGCCTTAAACTTGACAATGAAGAGCTGGGAACCATCCTTGACAATTGCCACGACCTAGAGTACCTCGACATGCGAGAGTGCAGCCTTGTTGACATGGATAACATGGATGACAGCCCACGAGTGAAGCTTGCCCAGATCAATATGGATAACCATGAGTACTCCAGTGACCAACAGGTTGACTATGAGTACAAGATCCGTAGTATTCATTACGAACTCAACTACCGTGAACTTAGAGATGGTTCGCTTTCCTACTATCCGGATTACAACGACTCCTATGAGGAATATTGCTACTACATTGGTAGTGGTGATGGTATTGACGATGCCGATCTCGAACAGTATGAGAAAATCCTTGATGTCAAGATCATGCGTAGGTACCTAAGCTAAGTGTGAAATAATGTATACGTGAGTGATGTTTCGATGAAACTACCCCTTCTCGAAAGCATGCACCCCCGACGCTTTGTTGCTTCAGTTTCACCATGGATTTCTTCATTATTAATTGTTCAATGGTTGATCGTTCAAATTTATTTAACCATTTACATGAAAAAATGAGATATATCAACAATTTTTTATTTCGATTTGCCAGAAACAAGTTTAGTAACATGCTACATCAAAGTTTTTCGTTCTTACTTGACTTGTTTACCTTTCTACTGCCTGAAAGGCTGAAACATCACATCTTGTTGTTCCTAGCACAAGCAGATTGTGAACTCATGCTTACTTAAAACTCTAAATCTAGGAGCTCACCAGCTCGTAGAAGACCTGCAGGACCGAGCATAGGATGTTGAATCGTACGCTCCCGAAGCCCTATGATGTTGACTGGAAGAGGGGAGGCATGGGCCACATGCGTGCAACTGAAGGATTAAGAAGACCTAGTTAGCTGGAGAAAAATAAGAGAATAACAGCTGTTGGATGTTAAATGAACGGTTTGCATGCGTATTGCATATAATTAGCTACTAGGGTTACATGACAAAATTGTAATGAAAACCTCTATTCATACAAACAAAATTTGGACATGTCAAAACAAACGGTGCAAAGCTCGTGTGTTTCACATCTATGCTATGAGCATAAAACTCCAAATGTAACACATCCGCCACCTATACCTACCGTTTAGGTGTCACTAGCGAGATCCATCTAAGGTAAGGAACTTCGAGTCGTGGCTGCTCCACTCCACTGAGGTCTTTTGTATTTAACTTTGTTGCCTTCCCGCGCACGAAACATATGGACATGTGTCGTGGGTCAGTTTTGGGGCTGGGGGCTGAGAGAGAGCAGAAGAATGATTCATTTGGATCGACGAGCCATTTCATGAATTAATAGAATATTCCTCTATCCATATCTATTCTATCTTTATATGACCGGCCATAAAAAAGTATTTTTATGGCATGTGGGATGATCACGTCTAAGTAGCCATATATCAGCTACGCTCAATATGTGGGACCTCCATTCGATCAGATCTTTCGCTTCAAGAAATTTGGACCTAGCGAAAAGGACTATAAGCCTTCGTGCAAACAAGCAAAGTAGAAGCAAGACGAGGAAGTGGAGCTGTCATAGAAGCAGTAGCTTCCCCCGACAATATAGAATACAACAATAGCGACCATGGGTAAAAGATCCCCTAGTTTAACGAGTTTGTTGCCTTTCCTAGGTCGTAGAAGGGCAACTACTTATTGATTGATCCCCTTTCTTTGATATGTGTTCAATTTAGTATAATAAAAACTACAACTAGATCAAAGCGGAAGGGCCACTCACTATAGAAGCTTTAACTAGAAAAGCCCTAGCCAATAGTCTAGTTTAGTACTCGGACAAACCCCTATGCTCATGGCATGTTCTTCATATTGATTGAGTTGGAGGGAGTCAAAGACTACCACAGAATCCTTCAATGGTCATCCGGTGACCTTTTTCACCGAAGTGTCACGATAGTTCATATAATCTCCAATGGGGATCAGTCGGAGAAAGCTCAAAGAACTTCCCTTCATTTGCTTCGCGGAGTCGCACATAGCACATAGCTGCAAGTGAGAGGGCTCATACTACCTGCCTAATCCTTCGCTCTGCGGGATTGTAGAACAGAAAGCTCCTTCTAAACAACTTGGCACAAGGGAGGGGGCCTATGTATTTGCATGACCCTGCGGGTTTGACCCTACCTACACCTAGAGTCAATCCCCTAACAGTCCTGCCACCACGGCGCAAAACATGAGCTCGTATGGAACCTTGGATTTCTGACGTAACGGTGGTGAATGGTATCAAAATATTACTGTCACACAACATAGTATATACGCTAAAGTTGGCCAAAATATGGACACCCGAACGGCCCGATGCGCACAATCTAATCCTATCTGAGCCCGTCATTGCATGCACGTTGGACAACTGTCCGTAGCATCATAAATCCTCCCTTTTGAAGTACCCAAATGGAATGGTCCTTATTTGTGTTGCTGGTTGGTCTTTCTCAACGTGATTTCTAGCATGACAAAACATTCTTTATAAGATAGGGCCGTTCACATAAAAAAATACAAAATCAATTCTTCATGGTCAGGCGCATTGCTCCAAATCCTCCAGGATCACAAGTGGAAATGCTAAGAAAGGGTTGGGATGTTGCGAGCTCCGCGTCGAATAGAAAGAAGCAAGCAGTGGATGTTGTCGTAACGCGCAAGAGAGCAAGCATAGGCAACCAAACTAACTAAGGCTACAAAAAGTAGCTAGCTAGGGTTTTTAAGCTGGCTACCGTTTCTAGCGCGCGTACTGTTTTAGTTAAGATTGACATAAGGTGAACTGTCTCTAGATCATATGGATCTCATGTACTTTTGGGAATTAATATATGCCTTCTATACTTCTAGTAGAGAGATAAAACATCGTATCCTCTCATCACTTTTGATCATCTCTCCTTTCTTTACAAGGACACGCAAGAACTTTGCCATCCACCGTTCTGCGACAGCTAGTGTCTTTTCTCCCGCCAACTTCGAGAAAACTACCCCAAAACACGGGACATTGCGTGAACCGGGTCTCACTCGAAAGAATCCTGCGACACCATCTGCCCATCATCGCTCCTTCGCGGCGAGGATGAAGACTTGAGGTAGCTCGGTGTGATTGGCCTCGGCGATGACAATGATGATGATGATGATGCCGACACGATCATCTTCTTGCTGCCTCCCATGGACAATGTCCTCGTCACGTTCTTGAGGTTCTTTTGGAGTGCCCGGGCAACCGGCGACTCCACCGTGCTCTGCCCCTGCAGCCTCCTCTGGTCCTGAGAAAACCATGAACATGGTCATGTCCAAGGCTCGTTTTTGGACGCATGAATTGTACTATGTATTTTTGAATGCATGCGAGATTTGATGTGTGATTCATGTCTCCCCCATCCCCCCATTCGAAAAAATTATTAGGAATGATGTGTTAAGATTAAGTGGTTTGAATTCATTAATACCCTCTGTCTCTTCTTCTCTTGTTCTTTCTCCTTCCTCGTGTTATCGTACTCCTCCAACATGTCCAAAAGCCCCTCCTGCATTTGCACAGTCAATTATTTCTCATTCGCAAAATTGAAAAATGGAAGCCAGAGTACCTTCCCGCCAAATTTCAAAAGGGAAAGTAATACGTAAAGAAAAATGCAAACAAGACATGCATACACCATCGTACAAGAACTTGGTGCCTCTATCCTCCTCCCAGACCACCACCTTCGCCGTCAAGGCCTCAGCCATCGCTGCACCCCATAGAAACAGGACAAGAAAAATTCACAGGGCAGCATCAGTGTTCTGTTCATGAAAGGAGATCAATAGACAAACACAAGTTTCTCATGAAGAACAAGATGAGCATCGACGTGCACACACCTGGCATCTTGTTGACCAAGGTGCGCGCCTTCTCGGCACGCTTCAGCATGAGGTGCATTCCTTTACCCACGTTGTATCTGTTCTCGTTCTGAAAATTACACACATGAAAAAACAATTCAACGTTTGAAACGAAGAAGAAATTTTTTGAAAGCGGATAAAGCTCGCATAAATAGTTATCTCTTGGTCAAAATTTTAGCTAACCAATATCAACATGTACAACTTGCACAAATATCTCTACAACTATAAAAAAACACAGTTGGTGTTGATAGTGTGTCTGCCCTCCATCACTTCTGACCATTAGATTTGCACCTAATGCACACGGACAAGCTGTGGCAATTTTGTAAGACGGCACCCGTCATTCCGCTTCGCCCTTATATTATGGGACGAAGGGAGTATTTACAAAAGAATCCTTAGTCTCTCCGTCCAGCCCC